GTTTTTAATAAATAATCAAATTCTTCGTCTTCCGTTGCGAAACCTGAAACAATAGTCTCCAGCCGCTATAACAGGTCATGCCGTCTCCTCCGTAATTTACGGAGGGAAGATTCGACGACATCCTCTGGAAATCTTACTTTCTTTTTTTCTCTACGTTCGCTGCAGTCGTCATTGCTTTTACTTTTCAGAGATTTTAACATGTTGCTTATCTTGTCGAACAATGCTTGTCTCCCTGTACTGCTTTGCTGTTTATCTATTGTTTCTCTAGATCTTTTCTTCCACCAAGCTACGATAGTTTGACTTGTTAAATCAAAGTTGAGATTGGAACTGTTCTTGGGGTCAAGGCCAACGTTTCCTAATTCTTTGTCCTTCACTTCTGCCAACGTTTTGGAGGTTCTCGACTGTTTCAATATATTACTGATTGCATCGAAACATTTTGTTCTTTCTTTTGAGCTCGAGCAACGGTTCTCATCGATAAGTTCATACAGTTCACTTTCGTTCACGTTGTTCTTAGCATCCAAAAGAGCATCGTTGATTATGCTGATAAAGAAGTTCATACAAAGAATGGTCAGAGTGAAGAGAATTAAGAAGGCGAATATTTTGGCGTATATGGTGTTAGACTGTGCCAATTCATTGATCGGTCTAGCTTTCACTCGACCAAGAGTTAGCTCGAGTTGGAAATAAGCTCCTTTCAGCACCGAAGAGCAGCGCTTAGTTACAGAGCCAAACATCAAGACACCGAAGTGCAAAAATGCCACAAAGAAAATGGATAAAACGATGCTAAAGGATAACAAAGATCGCGCAGATATCTTTAATGTTTTGGAGAATAGAACAACATAGTTGTTGAAGCGAATGATCCGCAATAGCTTGATGGTGACGATGAAAGTAAGAATTCCAATTACGACATTTTCCACTTCTTGGCAAGTGATAGCTTCTTGGAAACTTAGATTTTCGTAAATGTTTCTATGCAGTTTGCCCATGGTTGACATGACTTTACTTTGTCGTATTATGTACATCACCACGGCAATCAGAGGGAAGACAATTTGGAATATCTCGATCCAATTCCACATGAGCTTGAAATATCGAAAACGATGATTGTAAAGCCTGAAAATTTCTCTAACAAAATACAGTAAAACAAATACAATGTACCGAAACAAGCAAATCAAATAAAGCTGATGCGAGGGTGTGCCCGTAGAATCAAGTGAAAGGACACGAGTTTGCATGGAGGCTGCTATCAGTCCAGAAGCATCAACTTCATAGAAGTATGTGGCAACACCTAAAATATTCACCGACGGATTGAATGTAGAAAACTCTGCCAGGACAACTCTCGTTTTTCTGTCAAGCCAACCGTTGAACTTGTTATTATGCTGAATCCCGTATGGCAATCATACCCGAGGTCTGCTACAAATCCTCCTCCATCATAAAAGGAGAACTTTCCCCACCTGGGTGTATTGTCGGTTTTCTTGGCATGTTGATATCGCTGTTGATTAAGTATGATCGCTTGTCTAACACGTAGAACTTTCAGCAGCTAGTTGACGCATAGAAAGAGGAGACATTTTTCCCTTTTGGCATCATGTAATAGTGGCATAAAACGATAGCAATCAAGCTATTGTGTTTCTATTATCCTAAATATGGCTGCCGAAGCTGTTTTGCAGAAAACTAAGGGCAAACAAAATGACCACTGCACGAATGAATGTCTAGCTTGTGCTATTTGCTTTCTGATTACTTTACGCTATATGGAATCTAAAAGCCCTCAGGAATCCAAGTTGTAAGAGATCCTTCTCTAATTATAAACTACGAGTTTACTGCGGACATCTATAGAGTCTGGTTTGTTTTGTTTTAATTAACAGTGCCAAATATTCGCCACCTGACATTTCTTCTCGGTTTGCGGTTTGGCTGAATTTCAAAGGACGTTCCAAGATCGACATAAATGTTTCGCAAATGAAAAGTCAAGATATAATAAAGGTGGTACTTACCTGGCGCATAACTTTTAGACAAAGCTTTCCACACTTTGCCGGATTCAGTTGCACGCATCACACAATCCATTAAGCGTACGATACTGCTATAGCTTGCTGTCAATAGCTGTCTTTACTCTTATACGAATTTGTCATTGCGGTTATTTTTTTTTTAATTATTTGGCATTGTATGGAAAGTGAAAATTATTGAAAAACTAATAATAATAATGATGATGATAATGCAAAGATCCCTAACTCTTCCTTTAGCGATTAACAAATAGTCTAGAAAGCCCGTGTGTAGAGTCTGGTATGTTTCGTTATTAGCGTTCCGTAGGTTTAAAAATAAAAATGAATTATTCAAAAATGGAAAGTCAAGTTCGACGGTTTCATAGCTACCGCAGAATAACTGAAACAGGAATTACAAACGTCGTACTTACCCAAGACACAAGATATCAAAAGGGTTTTGAAAATTTTGATCGGTTCAGTTCCATTCATCATCCACTTCATTATGTCCAAGATATGCAAAGGTTGCTGTTGAAAGCTATTGTTACACTTGTATTTGTTTCACCCTGCTTGAGAGTTAGAGTTTAATGCAAATCATTTTCTCTGATCGTATGTTAATAGTGTGTGTCTCCTTCTTTCTTTTTCAAAACTTGCACCTGATGTGGAGCATTGTTTTTTGTTTGTTTGTTTGTTTGTTTGTTTTTTTTTTAATTCCGTCGAAAAACTTAGAGGCATTAAACTAGTTTTTGTGGTTCAAGTTTTGTAAAGAAGCAGCTCAAACAAAATTGATGTTAGGAAAGATAATATTTTTTTTTTTATGAACTCTGCTAAATGAACTTTGTCTTAAACCAGCTACCGTTTTATTAACCGGCAGCTAAAGCTAGTATTTCATCTGCTCGTATGCGTAAATGAAAATTATTATTTATTCATCTCGCCGATGACGTGCTACGCATTTCTGTCGGTAGGTTTATTTACTTCGTATGCCTTCAACTCTGATGGACTAACTCGCTCATGTGTTAATAACCGTGCATTATTATTTTTATAGCAAACGGCAAACTCCGAGTCAAAGGATTTCTTGTCGGTTTTCTTAGTGAATGTGAATTTACATAAAGTTAATCGTTAATTAATCAGAATCCCAGTGGAGGCTAACGGCCGATGGTTTTAGTGTTCAGCCTACAAAATAGCTCTCCCCTTCAAAAGCGTCAGGCAGACCATTATTTTTGTGCCCAAATGACTCAATTCCAACATTTCATAAGGAGCGGTGGGGTCTAAAGGTCTGAGTGTGCGATGTTCTTGGGTCAGTGAGGTGCTCTGTGGGCGAGATATTCTACTCTCCGCGCTCATAGAATAATTGATTATTTATTCGGGAATTTCTCCAGCCTAAGCTGCGAAATATTTAGTCAATCGAAGCTTAAAGCAAGTTGACCTATCGCATTTGAGCGCTGTGGAGAGAAAAGTACTTGCGCATTCCAGAGTGTTCTTCTGTGTACCTTCTTCCGCCTAAATCGCATGCTTCGTTATCAATTTTGAGTTATAAATAGGTATGACATAGTTTAGATTGTTGTAAACCAAGTCGGGCATATTTACATTATCGACTCCTTCTCTCAATTGCTGAAATTCCTCTTCAATGCTTGCCTCTCAGTTATAGTTATACTTGAAAACAAGGCCTGTGGAAATATTCCTCATTCCTATCGCTGAGCATTTTTCCTATAAATTGTGTACTCTGTGTAGATGTTCTTTAATCGCTGTTAAACTAAGTTTGCGCAAGATATTATAATCTCGATTTTAATAAAGTTCGAATATAACGCGCGCTTTAATTGCGAAAAAAAAATTAAAAATGGGCAAATGTAACTGATCCAAAAAGGATCCAATCACTAAGTTTTTTCCTGGTTTTTCAAATTAGTTGTTTATTTATTCAAACATTTACGTATTCATCTATTTATTCATTAAGCAACAACTTTGAATGTCCGCTTTAGCTACTACTACTATTAGTATCATTTGTTACGGTACAATTAAACCAACAGAAAGAACAATATTAAACAACTTGTAATATTCTCACCAAGAAGCGACTGTCAAAGGAAGTACAGTATTTATACTAAATAAACTTTATTAAGCGCATTAAAAACCATCTCTTAGCTCAACCACTGACAAAATCTCACAGTTGTCTCCAAAGTTCCTCGAAATTATATCAACAATCTTCAAAGTAGTTCTCCCTGTAGTCTTATTCGGAGGGCAGCCCTCATCAGACTGAGCCATAAGAAATTAAAATTTTTAGATTGGTTTATTTCGATGAATTTTGCTTGCAAATATACGATCGCTCAGGAAATAAACTTATAACTTACAATCATGAAGAAGATAGGTGACATTTACAATTGCGTGAGTGCTTAAACAACAATAAACAGAATGACCTTAACCTGCAGATCGTACCTCAGACCGATTGCAACCGACTAATCGCTGTCAACTAAATGATTGCACTAAGTAATTGACTGTTATTTCTAGTTGGCTAGATCCAGTTACTTGAGTTAAGTGCGACTTGGATTCAAATTCAGCACAATCTCACTTGTTTGACCTGTGAGCACTTCCTTGTGGTGTTGTCCTTTATTGAAGATGGAAAAACGATGTTCATCTTTCTTTTGAATCTTTCTTTGATCTGCACATAGACGAGCAACATAAATATTGGTTCTGAGCACTCACACATTTATTGAAAGACTACAACTTGATGATATGCAGTTAGTGTAAAAACAGCTTAATTTTTTTTCTTACCTGATTGTTTCGCATGCAGTGTAAAGCGAAAATCAGGAAACCCTAACATATTTAAAAAAAATTAGGGAGACATCTATTTAGATGCTAATGAAGAGAAGTTTAGGAAGAATTGAAGAAATAAAGAAGAAATCTATTTTATTCAGCATAGTTAACAGCTTTTTGTTTTCATAATTCCAATAAATATCATGTAACCATTGTAATGGTGTCTCGCTTCGTTGACAAATTCAATCGAGATTTATATAATCAAGATTGGATGATTTTTGAGAGTAACCATAGAACACTCACCTGAGTAGAGTTGAGTATGTTGAAGATGTAGGCAAAAGCTTTATGCACAGGCAAAAGGAGACCAAATAACCACGTGATACCCAGCAGGGGATTTATCACCACGCATGCTTTGATGCCAAGTCTAGGAGTTAAAAACAAAGAAAGAAAAGACATTCTTTTATTTTAATTTGACAAATAATTTTCATTGTTAGATATCGGAATGCCTTCCTGATTAAGGAATGGGGAAGTTAGGCGATTATCGCCTCACAGGAGCACATGGCAATCTCGTCCACTATTTTGTTTTAGTTTTATGTTGCAGGTCTTACCGTACTTGCTGAAAATTGTTGTCTTCCGCTGTTGGCTGCACCAAATTGGTCATTTCCTTTATAACGCTTACAAGTATCAAGATGTTGAGCTAAAAATACGATAGGGATAAATTGATTGTTTAGATATGATTGTCGAAAAAGCAAGAAAGGATCCTTTCCAAAGACGTCATTAGTTTGGTAAGGAGAGTGGAATGAAGAGTCATTTGCAGGGAATAGAACTCCCAGCCAGGGGACCTAAATTATGAGCTTCGATTCTCTGACAATGGGCTAAAGAAATTGCGAACAAAAGTGTCTAAACTGAATGAACCATACCAAGTGACGCCTCATGTTAAATTATATAAATTCAATATCTCCTACTCTCCCTGCTATTTCATCTTTGTTAAAGTCTTTCTTTATTAATTTTTTTTAATCAGTGATTTTTGCGCGAAACATCATCTTGGTACGTATATCAATGTGAAACAGTGTGAGAACGTTAATATGGAGGCAGTGAGGATTTTTTTTACGCTATAAAGTAAAAGTTGGAGAATTTATGAAGCTATTTTATGCCTGTGAAGACATTGTCTCAAAGGTTTTTCTCGCTATTGAAGGCCATCAGTAGGTTAAAATTGACAACCATCCCCGTAAACAGCAGCTCCGTCCAAAGTTTTTCGTGAGTAAATAGCAAAAGATAAATGGTAAATATTGTGTAGGGTCATATCATATATATTTATCCCTTTAACTCCCAAGATCTGATTAGTAATTCTCCCCTCTAGCTGCTACAAATATTTTTTTAAATAGTTATGAGAATTTGGTGTCAGATCAAGGCAACAACTTTTACCTGATAAGTTTACATATTCTCATTCGCTGTTTCCTGTATAATGTAAGGCTATTACAGAGAGAAGTTTCATGTTGATCACTCCTGGGAGTTAAAGGTTTAATTCGCTTTTTAAAGAGCAGAGGAAAAGGTCTTTTGGCAGCAATTAGTCCAAGTATACCAATCATAATCACCAACACGAATCATAAACTCACAACTTCAATGAAAGTCACAAAGGCGACGAATATCCAGGTCAGGTTGTCAGTCGAGGAAAGCCAGCAACTAAACTCGAAGAAATGAAAGGCAGGAAAGAAAGACAAATTTTTAACAAATGAAATGGTACTGACTTAAAACTATACACAAAAACACAAAAGAAAGAATGTAATGAAATGAAGTAAAAGAAGGAACCGTTGAATTTTTTCCTCACTACTTATCACTTGTATAGCTTTGTAATCCTTCTTTCCCAGCAGCGATGCCAAGTGAAATGGCCACCATGATCACTGGAAGACCTACCCATAGAGAAAGAAAGGAAATACAAACACTGCAATGGATGACAACACCGGTTTTGGCGATCCGAAAGCACTGATGCATGGTTATAGTTACCTGTGCATGTTGTAAAATAATAAACTTACCCCATGAGAGGACGTGATACATGTGCATCTTGGCGTTGATATTACAAACTTTCACAACGAAGAGGTAGAGATAAATTGCCTCGATCAGCATCCAACAGAAAGCGGCCATCAAGAAATACTGCATCAGAGCTGCTATTGTAACACAAGCAGCCTGTGAAGAGAAAGATTTTTTCGTATTCTTATCGCGCTCCTTTAGATAAGATATTTTTGGTGCAAAGAGTAGATTCATTCTATGAATATGAAAGAGAGGCCACTAACTTTGTTTTCTGTGGCGTTTATTCCCGCGAGGAAGATGATCTGTCCAGCTCCAAGGGACATAGAAACACTCAGTCGAATTTGAGAGAGAGGTTGACGAACATCTCTGATGAAATAATAGGTAAGTACAGCAAGAACCACAAAATTTAATCAAAAGATACAGCAAAATGTGGCTAAAGATATCAACTAAATCTTGACATCAAAGGAAAAAAAAAGACAGTGAAGAGCTCTAGAAAGGACCAAAAAAGGAAAGCATTTCGAGGAAAATGGCTAAACCCTAAACAATTCATGAACCGTGAAACCATGAGCATTTCAAGCGCTCTTAATGGGGCATGAAATCTACTTTGAATTTGTGAGTTATTCGGCCGACATGTATTTTCTTATTGGCATGGAGATTTGCATTGAGATCTCTTTTCTCTCTAGCCTAGTTGAGGGGAGATGAGAATCTACGTCATCAATATTCAGGTACATTACATACGTGAGGCAATAATAAAGTATTAATGTTAAAAGTATCCCGACGATGGAAAGGCTCAGTCCCACGTAGGTGATAACTTTCAGGACTGTTTCGTCCTCCTTGGTGAGCTATGTCAAAAAAGAAAAAAATTAAAGGAGAACATTGATGTAGTTAATTGAGCCCATAAAATGATAGAGTAAGGCAAACATTATTTGATTACCTTTAAGCTACCGTCGTAGTCCATTAAGACGGCAAAATGCGTCAAATGATTGCAGCTGCAAACTGTTTCTTCTGAGTTGCTTTTTGATTTAAATACATGGCATCCTTCCTCTGAAAATCCCTCAGACCTGAAAAATTAAATTAACAAAGCACACAAAATAATTCATCGTCTAGGGAAGAGGTGATGTTTGACAATTTGCACTAGGTTTTTCCTCCATTGTAGTTTTCGCAGCGAGAACATTTGAGTCAGTCTTCCTCTCTCTAAAAACGACAACATGTTAGCCTCCGGGAAACATCTGACTATGAACTTTCATTCATACTCTGCCATACTTAATTTTATTTTAGAACGAAGAAATACTAAAGAGGTATTTTTTACCTTTTGCTGAGGCCGCTCCAAAACATGCAGCGCTTCTCTGCTGTCAAAACCTGAAAATAGATTTTATCTAGTCAGAATGAATCATAATAGCGCGTAGCAACTAATTTTAATGTTACCTTTAGGTTTTTGAACTTAAGGATGACATTTTCTGCCAATTTATTAGGCTTGGGGTCCATAGTTACGGCCATTATCCTGGAGTTGATATACCTATGAAGAAATTATATTTGAAAATGAACCAAAATCGAGGAATCAACAAACATATACTCTTGCTAGATTCAAGCGATTTTTTTTATGAAGACGGAATTGTCTGAGACAGACAGGAAGACTTCGAACCCTATATGAGGTTTTTAAAGGTTTCTAAGCTCAGTTTGGTTGAACTTTAATCTTATGTTTCCATATTATGTGTTTTGGGGGGTAAGCGACATGAAGGAGATGGAAATATCATGACCTTTTGTTGACTGTTTCATTCCTGATGGGTTGGTCCGTCAGAAGTCGGTCATGCAGATCCTTGTACACAAAAGCCACTACCAATGATCCTTAAAACCCCCCAAGAATCAACAAAAAATAAGTTAGAAAAAACAAAAACACAAAATTCAAATTTTTATCAGGGCCTGAGGTATGTGACTTTAGAAGGAAGGCAAAGAATTCAAGAAAATAGACTATGTAAACTAATGTAGCGCATTTTTATGGGGCTTTATTTCAATACAGGAATTCAGATTGGAGAAACTAAGGTAATTAAAAGTTGTAAAGTTAACACGCCGGTTAATACGAACCATTTTCCTCAAAATTTGTAGAAGCGATATCGATTGACGCTTGCCATCGTTGTTCATCAAAGTGGAAGAAACTCCCATTCTGGCGATAGGCTTTTTGAATGGCCAAAACTGTCAGAAAAACAACTCAATGACAAATAAAAGCACCCACGGTGAAATTAACAATAGCACGTCTACAAAACATGAGTTTTGCGAAGTACACAAAATGTTTTATAATCTTAGTGAGTGGACGTGTACCGTTTGTACTTTATTTGCCCTTCAGCGAATATTCGACGGATTCAATCATTTTTAAAATGATTTTTCATGTAAAACTGATTAAAAAGTATGTAGTACTGCACGGACTAAAATTGTGAAAATTCATTTCGTTCCTCGAAGCGTTTTGTCGGAGAACAATAGAGTTCATTAGGGAGTTTGTATGAGTACGGTTAAAAATCTTGCATATATATGCATCGCAGACGATGTACTTATTTTGAGCTCAGTGCATAGTATGAAGTAAGGGGACATTATTTGTAAGATTTGACAATTTCAGTAAGTAAGTGTTACTCGCCAATCTATAAACAGAGCAAGACGAAGGGTTTCAGAATTTTGAAGGATTCCTATTCTCTCTTGTTGATTTCAAACCACCTTTTATTTCCTTCTCCACCGCAAAAGTCAAAGTTAAAAAACGAGCAGATGAACCAATGACATCCAACAATGAAGTTTCTAATAATTTTGGTCTATAACTGAGATTTATCTTGAAAACTATGTTACTCAGTCGGTCAGTCAGCAAATCAGTAAGTAACAAAGCAATAGATTTTGAAACTAAACAGGATTGAAGGCCGCCACCTCACCCATGTTTGGGAAAACGATCCTTTCTGAAGGCCTCATTCCACTCAGGTGTTGCTTGCCATAATTAATAGTAAATTTCTCGACGGCCTCTGCCACCTCAAAGATGGATTTTCTTAGTGTCTTAACCTCTTCCATGCTGACCTTGCCTTTTGCGACTTTCTTGAGATTTATGGTGAAATCTTCAAACACACCTACAGCCTCCTATAATTACGTAAATATTCCCAGGTCATTAACTAGCCAGTCTCATATACGCAATTTAACACAAAGCAGGAGGCCCCAGATGGTGTCCAGGGTATTCCCCAGCAAAATAACTCTTTTAGGGTCCTGGGTTACTTTTTAAGCCTCACCATTTTCACCCTGTATGGCTTGAATGGTGGTTTATCTTAAATTTCAGATATTTACTTTATTATGGTGTAAATAGATATATCAGGGTTAAAAGCCTTCAAGTTATGAAAATTGCATACCTGTATGGAAATCTTTCTGGTAACATTTATTCCGGATAATTTTGAAACATAGTAATTTGCCTGGAATAATAATAATAAAAAAAACAATTGTCTGTCACATTAATGGACCGAGAAGATCTCGAAAAGTGACATGCAAAGAAACGCTAAAGGACTATTCAGAACACAAACCAAATGCTCAACTGTCCTAAACAACAATGACGATGGTGCTGTTAGCAATGGCGATGGCGATGGCGATGGCGATGGCGATGGCGATGGCGATGGCGATGGCGATGGCGATGGCGATGGCGATGGCGATGGCGATGGCGATGGCGATGGCGATGGCGATGGCGATGCTGATCCTAATGCCGATGATAATAGAGATGACGATGGCGATGACAATAGAGATAGCGATGGTGATGCTGATGCCGATGCTAATGATGATGCTTAAGATGGATGAGATTGTAAATCTTCGATTAGAATGAGATATTAATTGAGCTCTTTTGCCGTTTTACGGCTTACCTCTTAACACGTGTTTGTATATTTTTTAAAATAATAGGGTAGCGAATGACAGGAAACACAGAGGGCGTAAAGGTTCAAAACTTCAAGCTTGTTATCATCGCTCAATTTACAAAACTTGGATGAAAGGGATATTTTATAATAAGTAGACGCTAGCGAAGATCCTTTTGGTTTTCTTCAACACAGGTTTTAAAAATGCGTATAAACACCATACGTGATGCGCCACTGTTACGAAGTGCTTCACCCGAAGTGTGCTATGCCAATGGACACTATTGGAATACACTACAAAATACCTCGAACATCCCCATTGTTAACACTGCTATGAAAGGAAATTAAAAGACTAACAAGCAATGGTTTTCGTTAATTGATACTGAAGATAGGTAAGTGGTTTACTTATTAGCCATTGGCTTTATGGAGATAAAATTACATGCAAGAAAAACTTTTAACATAAAGCTGGAAAAGTGCGAGAAATGAGATGAAACATTACAAATGTCAAACTTTATATACGACCTACAAGAAAAAACGCAATTAACGTCATAGCGGCTCACGTGCTTACACACCGATCGGAAAATATTTACATTCTCTGTCACTGTCCCTACAGTTTAGTTCCGCCGAATGTAAGAGCATTTCCATCAACCTTCAAAGTCCGATCAGAACGTTCTACACAATTGCATTACATGAACACGTGGCACTTTTCCATGCGCTTAAATTGTATTCTACCGATCAATTTTCATTTTGCCTCATTAGGCCTGACTCCATCATGTGTCATTTCCTTGTAAACAACCTGCGTAATAGCTTTCGCTCACCGTGGAGTCTCTATGCCTCAGTGATAGTGCATCGGAGCGCGGAATCCGAAGGTCTGAGGTTCGATTCCTAATGGGACTCAGAATTTTTTTCTTTGTCCCACGCTCGTGACAAGACGAATCCATCTTTCTCTCTTCTTCATTTTAGCACTTAATCGAACCGCACTATCCAACACCACTCAAAAAATTTCAGACGGAACTAAATGTTACTGAGAGTAAATTTTCAACGCAGTTCTCCTGTGTATTGACTTTTTCTACGAACAAAAGTCCCTTTCAGTTACCTCGGACTTAATCCCATCGTATGTTAATTTTTCTGTTATAGAACTGAAAACGTTAGGAACACAAAGTGTCCCATCTCAACCCTCCGAGCCAAAATAACGAATCTTATATGCTATGCGTGCCTATGTTTATTTTATTTTAGTAGGCAGAACATCCATTAAATTCCAACCCAGTGTTGACGAAAAAAAATATCTACATGCTCTGGTGACATACGAGAACTGAGGTAACCCTTTCTATCCTCGCTGTAGAGTAGTGGTTGTTAGGTTGATCGAAATTTTTGCCTTATTCGAATTAAAAGCAGGATGGTCAGATTCTTATGTTCACTGCACATTTTGCATTGCATTGAATTTAGCCCCAACAACTTTACAGTTCAAAGGATCGGTTCTCGAAATAGAATAAAATAAACATAAAAATTGATTCCCTCTGCGAAGAAAAAATAAGTCTCGAAGTCTTTTGCATTTGTTTTATAAAACGACAGTTGGCATGTATCTTTACTCACTACCTTTTCACAACAGATAACGCACTTCACATCACCATGTGTTGCTATCTAACAAAGCAATCGGATCGCTGATTCTTTGCAGGTGGTATTCACCACCATTTCATTCAATCGAAAGGATAAATTAACTACGTGAAAATTAGCGACAATTGAAAGTTTCACAATTGTTGTTACTCGTAATGGTAATAGTAACAGAACCATTTAAAACTTTCCTCTGCTCGCAAGGTTAAAAGTTAGACATGTATATCGTGAAAACGTTCATTGAAATTGTTTCAAACATATTTTCATTCATGCAAATGTAAGTGTTAACTTGATCCCGACTGTCAGAGGGTTTATAAAAATGGTGTCGTGAGTATCGCAAACGTCACCAAAGAATGTTTTTGTTACGCCTAAGCGCTTCTGGTGCCTTTTAGTTTACTCAAAATAATAATAATAATAATAATAATAATAATAATAATAAGAAGAAGAAGAAGAAGAAGAAGAAGAAGAAGAAGAAGAATAAGAAGAAGAAAACAAAAAGGGAAAAAATAAAACAAAACAAAACAAACTAAAAGAAAAACTTACCCTTGGTAATCTCACAAATATAAGCGTGCCAGTTCCCCCAAGCTGTGTTACCAAACACGCCCGGTTTGCCATTACTGGACCGCTTGTACATGATGGCCTTTCCGTGTTCGCCACTTGGCTCCCCTTTTCCCCATTTGCAAATAGTCAGCGGTCTTTCACTCACCCAGGTCCAATTCCCGGCTTTTTTTGTTAAACCAATACTCCATGTACTTGTATAAGACGTAGTATTTCGCCTTTGAATCTCGTCTTTAATGAACTTCCATTCTTCTTCGGTTTCAATGGATACTAGGTCCCCTCCTTGGTTTTGGCAGGTTTCTCTGTTAAAGAGCCATGACAATCCATTCACCGAAATTATGTACCAAGAGTTCTTAAAAGTTATGTTTGAGCATCCTACAAAATGATAAAAACGGAAACAAAAATACTAATTATCATAATGATGATAAGCAAAGTGATAATAATAAGAATGATTAAGACATAAAAAACTATGATCACAATCACAATAAAGGAGGAGAAAATGAGAAAAGAAAATGTGATTTTCTTCATTTTCTATTTCATTCCTTTTTAAATTTAACATCTGTAGTTTATGTTTGATCAGTGTCAATTATTACAGTACGTCTTTCTTCACTACGGCGTCCACCACCTCTGCCTTGCTTTTCTGACCTTCAGCTAAAAGTATCTGTGAGTTCGTGAAATTTTAATAGTTGAATTTTTGGATATTAATTAGTTCCTTGTTGAGCTGACACCTCCCCTCACCCCGCCCCTTATTCTTCCTCCCCCATCTGAACAGACTTAAAAAACGTAAAATTAAATGTGAATGTAAGTTTTCATAAATGTGCAACTGTAGATACGCAGTTCACCGTATACAGTTGCTATGGGAAAGTTTATCGAAAAAAACAAAACAGAACAAAAATCTAAAGGACACGCGACAAACTCAAAAGATTATCTGGGTGGCGGTAATCAACATGAACATAAAAAGGTAAAGATAAACTAATTAAGGTTACCTTGTGTTTTTCTTCCGTTTGATTGCAGTTTCGAATTTAAAGTCAATCTTGTATTAAAAATAGGTTCAAACCCGTGGTGCCTCGTCCTTAAAGTGACATTTTCTTAGATTTCCCTGAAATCCTGAGGTCGTCTAACTATTACCTGAAAGCTACCGGCAATATCTCTCAAGGTCACCGCTTGCACTTCTGACACGCTTTTCCTGAAAACTTTTCCCGAAAGAACTGTATTTATTAGTTGTTTTTCTGAACGATAACGAATCATGCAATCTTTGTGGTTCTTTATACCGTCCAGATTTTCCTATCTCTGCTTAGCAGCACGGTAACGTTTGCTCGAGTCGCTAGCTACAACCCTAACTTCGTTGTCATTTTTCATAAATGTATTTCGTTTGCCAGCCGAGCAGTATTTTAAAGCAAACCATTTTAAAGCAAATCAAGCTGATTAATAACTTATTAATCCTCTCCTACTCTCTCTGTCAAGTCACTGTGGCTGCCGGCAAAAAGAATGAAAAAATGATTTTTGGTAGCAAATTTGTCATTAGATGGGTTGACGCGCGGCCTGAAAACCGTTTGTAAGTAACCTTGACCTTCACTAGAAGTAACTCAGGACGTTAGAACGTAAGGTGTTTGTTTAAAATTGAATTAATTAATGGAATTTTCAATCATTTAATATCTAAATTCTTTCAAACAATTTGTTCATTGAAAAACAGAAAGCGAAGTCTTCATTCTATACTTTAAATACGCTTTTGGTAAGTCTTTGCAAGTCTCCCCAAATTAGACATTTGTACCGTAAACTTCACAACAGTAAACGAAGGAATTCAACGAGAAAAAACCGCATTCAAATTCCGACAAAAGACCAGATTTGCACAAACGATTGCACCAAATAAACGAGCAAACTCCCACAATCTCGAAACAGATTTAAAATTACTTACAATTACTTTCCATTCATTGACTGAACAGAGCTATACTTCATTCATCGATGGATAGTCGATGGAAATGCGTAATACTTTCAGTAAGATCATTGACTGTTTTTAAAGAAAAAAAAATTCGTGACAGACATTGAACTTAAGTTTGTTTGCCAAACCAGTGTCGTTGATGTTGTTGTTGCTATTACTTTTTTTTTTTGTGTTGTTTGTTTTTTTTTTTTTTAACGTCCATGTGCTTTTGTTTCTCACACGCTCTGTCATCGTAAATTGTGCACTCTGTCTTCAGTCCCGGTACTCAAGACCTTGAGCAAACATACTTCGATGTGGTATGTTTAAAAGAACATGTATTCACTCACCGACGTCAGTGAACACGCCTTGTAACTTGTGGCAAGGGAAAATTCCGTTGGTTAGATTATCCCAATCTCAGCGCGCTCGACAAAAAATTTTTGTGTAAAATTGTGAACAATTTCGATCGCTGTTTTTTCCAACTGCAGGTGATGCAAAAGAGAACAATTTTAGAGTGATCATTTTTTTTTTTTTTTTTTGACATATGTCCCGGATTTTTTTCATGGGCATTATTTTCAACCACTATTGCGCGCTTAAAAGTTCATTCGTCGCTCACACGTACAAGTTAGATGAGCCGAGCATATTATGTGAACAACATTTTTACTTTTAAGAAGGAAGAGAAATTTTCCTGACACAAGTGCAAGACTGTAATGTTTCAGCACATAATCTACTTTATGGTTGGAATGTGATCTTACCTCCGGGTATCTCGCAAATGAAGGTGTTTTTATCACCCCAAGAGATACTATTAAATAGGCCTCTGTTCTTGGATATTTCCGCTCTATCGTCTCTATCATCTAACTGAGAATCTCGCCATTTCGAAATATTCAGTTGCTCTCCACTCTCCCAATTCCAAACTCCGCCCATCTTCCCTAAACCAATGTGCCACGCGCTAGTATTCCAGGTACCACGCTTTTGAATCTCCTGATTGATAAACTGCCATTCTTCTTCAGTTTCGATGGAGACTAAGTAACCTCCTTGGAGATAACAGACATTCGCGTTGTTATACCAATATCTTCCGCTTTTCGAAAATATGTAGGAGGAGTTTTTGAAACAGGTTGCTTGGCACTCTATAAAAAAAATGATAAAGGAATAAATAAACGAAGAAAATGTATACTTATTGTAACAATAGTGATAATTCTGATGATGGCATGGAGACAAAAAAAAAAAAAAATAAATAAAGGAAAAAATGTATACTGATGATAACAATAGTAATAACGATAAAGATATGGAGAAAAAAAATAACATTTATACCATTAATGATAAAAAAGAAATGGGCATCAAAACCCTCTTCGTCACCGAAGGAAAAATTAGAATTAGGCAAGGTTTTAAAAGCGGAAATTGGGGAAACTAGGGTAATAGCACCGTTAATCTTTGACCTTATTGTTTTGCTTACCAACTAACGTTTTTAATCGCAAAACGATGTCATTGCAGCAGGAAGTCTATAACTAATCATTTTGATAATTCAGTCAGATCCTTTCTTTTCACGTCATTTTAAGATACATAAATATTAAATTGTAATTACACTTCCTCACCTGTTCCAGGCAATTCCATTATCAAATGAAGGATGACTGTAGAAGAGAAAATGGGAAAATAATTTTACTGTTATGTCGATTGTAACATTTGAAACAACAAAAGGGTTTCTTAAATTTCAAGTTAGACTAGTACTAGAGCATTTTATTCGCTACATGCACCTTAAAATCTACCCATGGCTTTTTTACCTTCCCTAAGGAGCTAACTGAGGAATTGAAAGAAAAAAGTGCAGTATCTCCGCAACCAGCTGAACAAAACTTCTTACCTATCGGACGTCAAGATAGATAGATTAAAAAAAATACAGAATAAAAAAACAACAACCAAAAAAAAAAAATCAGCAAAGAACTAACAAACATATTTATCTGAAAACGTTATCTTCTTTATACACGAAAACAAAATCTCGAACAGCGTTAAGGTATTTTTAGTTTTTATTATTATTATTTTTTTTCATCATAACGGTTCCGCAGGTTGCGCTGATTGCGCTGGTTCTTGGTTCTAAGGTTCCACAGTCTGCTGATATTCAGTTTAGTACCACCCCATAATATTCTTGTTTGTTTTCTATTTTTCTACACTCAGGCAATTGCGGGAGATCCATTTCGAAAACGGAACCCTCACCGGGTTTTGCGGATGGTATGTTGGGGAGTTCGAAAACCGAATTTCAAGGCAAACCGTACGGTTTACATTCTCTATTATCGCGTAGTTACAAAGCATGTTTTTTTTCTTTGTGCTTCCAAAGCTCTGCTAATAGTTCACGCCTTTAAGTGACCATATGCCAAGTTATGTCAACATTAAATTTTTCGCAATGCCGACCGCTAATAGAAACACAGAAGTGTCCCGCGTTGTCTCAGGAGACTCGCAGCAAAAACATATTTTTTGCGGGTAATAGTCGCCCGTACCAGACGGTATTTAAATAATCTGCTGGCCGGCAATTTGGATTGAATTTTTTATTTTTATTTGTTTATTTTTTTAATTTTTCAATCGTATTTATTTATTTTTTTAGCTCAAAAGCGGCTCGAGCATGCTGCGACAGAACTCGTTAATGGTTCCTGACCGTGTGCCCGTCGCTTCAACCACGAGCCCTTATCCGTTTCGGTGAGTTACTTCAACCATTCCTTATCGAGTTTCCTCGATACTTGTGCTTACAGCCAGGATTCTTTTTTAGTTTCACCATAGAAATCTTCCCTTTTTTTACCTTTCGCCATTTTGCAAAAATGACTCTTATCAAACGAAAAGGAGTCGAGTACAATTCCGCCCCTAAATATGTAAAGACTTGAGGTAAAACGTTAACTGACCGAACAGACCCTAACTAAGAATGGGAAATTCCTAGTGATATTCCCCTGTTGCTATTCTAGCCCTAATACAAGGAGTTTGATTGGTTTGTCGCCGTTACAGAAGAAGAAGCAAACTTTTCCCTTCGAAACGATCGAGCACTGCTAGCGAAAACTGAAAAATCGCAAAGGAAACGTTATCGACGCTAACACGGACCAAGATGTTTGTAAAATAGCTCCACCTGGTGCGAAAAATTGCACTTTTATCTATTTCCTTAGAACCAATTTTGTTTCCTTGGGGTTGAAATATAACAGTAAAACAGTCCTTAAAAGAATACCTCGCACAAGGGATTGCGGAGAAAGAAACCGCAAAGAAGTGATCAAAACTTTGACGCGGTTCGAAATCGTGCCTCTCAGTTCTACCAGTAACTGAGCAACTAAGTAACATTCTTGGAGAGATGTAAATATCACTGCCTCATGGCCTTTTGTTTTCTATAATTTCTTTGATGTTCGCCAACATTAGAGGATTATTTTGTCATTTTTTTTTATCATCATTATAATCATTCAGAAGTAAAATGTAAATTTATATATTTTTCTAATTTTAAAAATGTTTGGTCCCCGGAAAAAGGATCACTGAGAACATTTTAGGAAACATGCATACAAGTGCATTTTTGAGGCAATCGAGTTGTTTGTTTTAATATCTGACGTGAAGAAATTAAAAAAGTCTATAATTCAGTAAATGAGAAAATAAATAAAATGACAAAATGACATAATGATAATAATAAGAATAAAAATTGGATGGAATATTCGAATTGCAAATCAGTGTAGCCCAAGAGTACACAAAACACAAAAGCCAGTCCAAAATATGATCGATGAGTTAATACCACAAGACTTTTTTTCGCTTTAGTGGGGTGGAATAAATTCCACGGAAGTGATATACGTACACACCGATATTACAAAATGTTAAGAAAAAGGGTTACTGAACACAAATGGCACCGCCGGGTTTAATTTTATCACAGTTTTTCCTCTTTTTTTTAATTGTTTTAGCAGGACTGGAACGACTGATGCTTCATCGAACGACGAAACTCCAGTTAACCAAAGATGGTAAGAACAAAGCTTTCAGTTCCTTTGATCTTTATGATCACGGGGACCGCACTTCATTTTCAAAACTTCGTAATTGTTTCGTACTGACTCATTGCTTTCAAATCATTTCGAATTGTGTCGTGGCAAAAACTGTATAAGAAAAAAAATGTTCAAACTCGGCATTCAACCAGTTGTTTTATGTGATAAAACTCAAGAGCAGACGTTGTCGAGTTCAATCGATTTGTTTTTAGAGAGATGAATACTTGCCACTTTACTTGCGTCTCTCTGGTTTGAAGCGGCTGAGGGTTGCATGATGCCCCGATACTGACATATTGATATCCCATCATTTATTCCTTAATGCATTTTTAAATTCATTGTCTTCTTTGTTTCTAAAGCATAACCAAGAGAAGTAGTAAAGCTTGTACTTACTCAGCGCACAACGTAAAGACAGGGCTGTGGACATTTTGCTGGATTGAATCCCTCTCATCGCACCACCCATCAACTTACTCAATCAAAAGTTGCCGTTAGTGTATGTCGGCACCCTTATAATGGTCCGTGACTTGGTAAAATCACAAGAGCAGCCGATTTTAGTCCACGTTTTTTAAACTATTTTATAGGACGTGAGCGTAATAAACATCACATTCGACCGCTTTTGCTGACATAAGCCGCGAGAGTTCTATTTTTCCACTCGTAAACGGACCAATAAAACTAAAAGCTCTTTACACCAGATGCAGAATGCTGTTTTACTTAACAGATGCAAGTGATCCACGACACGAAAATAGCTTCATCAAGCTAAAGTTTTCTTAACGTGGATATGAAAATGGGTGTTTGAAAAAAATTGTAAACAACTCAAAACTAATGAGGATCCACTTTCATAGGTAGTCGTTATTTGGGAAAAAATATTATGTCCACCGGAAACTAGCGTAAATATGCCATCTGTTCATCTACGTGCACCCGAACAGATATAACTGTCATCGATCCGTCAGAAGATAAGAGTGTGTGTTTTAGGCCCGCATAATATTGACTCCGAAGGCAGGAATGATTTAGTAATATGTTCGGGCAAGTGTAAGAATGCAAATGAACTACAGAATTTCTCAGGTTGAAAAATACATATAAATATATATTCTCCGTTTAGTTAGATCACCTGCTCGATGTGAGTTTTACTGGGTCTTTGAAGTTGATCATCATCGATCCGTTAACGGATCAGAAAACGAAGTGCGGTCGGCGGGAAATAGTTGAGCCCTAAACCTGCATCATTTCCTTTCTCTCACTGCATAACTTCTCCTTTAGTGCACATTGTGTAATGACTGAGTTCATATCTTTGCAGAATGATTACGCTAAGTTGCCATAGAAAAACCCTGCCTATTTTTTCAGCTACATGCGCGTGTACTGAACACTAAATTCATATGTAAAGAGCGCTCGGCAAGCGCATGACGGCCTTAGAAAATTTACGTAGCGCGTGGTTCAACAAAAAAAAAATTGGAATTTAAGCTAATGTCAGATATTAAATTACATTCTGCCCAATACAGGAGATTTTGATCGCAACATAATTTAACACGGAAGGAAAGGGAACCTTTAACAGGACTAAGTGATCCTGCGCGAGCTTTATTTTCAAGATACCGATAAGCAAATCGGCTGTGCAATTTCCCTCCCTTCCGTTGCTTTTATTTCAACGATAAAGTGCTCAACCCTCTTCTTCCTGCGGACAAGATGTGTTAGGTGTGACGTAATTTGCCACTTTTGATGATCTATATATCTACACAGATGTTTTTATGATAGACAAGAAGTGGGGCAAGAATTGCGAAAAAAAAAAAAGGAAAACACGCTATTATAGTCGTTATTAAATAAAATTTGAACAAATTCCAACATTTCCAGCGATTATCTGGATCTGATATGTTGGCTCTGAGATATTATCTACTATGTAAAACTGAACTCAATAACATCGAGGATCAAAACACGCTAATTGCAGCTGTGGAAAAACCAATCAATTACGTCGGAGCATCCTGCCTTATGACAACACCCGAACCAGTCGACCCTATCACCTGATGAAGACCAACAGAATGCAGCTGAAACGTTGCGATTCACATCATAAGTTACCACATCGTGGAACAAACGATACTACTTTACTATAATGAAAATCACTTTTTTAACCTGAAGTTCTGTTAACGTGAAAATAATAATGAATTGATAAATCATGTTTTTAAATAATGAAAACTTAATCAGGGATCTCGTTTAACGATAGTCGCTTTTAGGAATTAACCATTTTCCCAGCGGGAACTATTGCGGGTATCCCATATGTAAGTCTGCACGAAATCATGTTTCCATCAAACACAGAAACAAACAAATCGACGGGAACTTGCAGCTGAAGTGAAACTGCACACGTGATGTTATAAATGCATGGTCGTAGGTGAATAGAGTTTATACCATTGTAACTCCTCAGGAATAAGATAGGACATGCACCCGCACTATGTTAAAATAGTGTTTGTACAATGCAACTGATCGTATTAAACATATTCATAAAGTGATTACTCGTTAGAGCACTTGATAGATGCGCATTAAAAATGCTTATGTTTCTGATTGAAAAAAAATCAATCTTTCATGAACAACGTTTATATTGACTCGACAAAGTCATTCACACTAAAGTTGTTGAGCATTTTTGACAATTTTTCATCATGATGTACTTAGTCTGATTCCTGTTAGCACGCGTTAAGGAAGCGAGACTATCTTCCCAAGTTTGTATACGCTAAAAATCACACCAATACTTCCCCACAAGAGGATAATAACAATTTGTAGTTAAAGTGACGAGTATCTTGTTAAATGGATGGGGTTTGCAGCTTGTGTTGGTTTGAGTCAGAACCAGCTGTTTATGGCTGATTAAGGTGGGAAAATCTACTGTCATTCACGATACTGACATCGTGTCTTTCCATAAGAATTAGTTATTTTGGTCCTTTGCACCCGCTTAAGACTGTAGCAAAGCAAAAAAAAACAAAAAAAAAGACTTGAAGCAATTTTGTAAAAAAACATTGATCAAACTGACCTTAATCAATTTTTACAGCATGGTGCAAGAGCGTCATTATCGTGCCAAGTAAAATGCATAGCCTAAGGTTTAAAATATTATGTGACACCTCAACGGGGAGTATTAAAATTTATCTTTCGATTCAATACGTATGCTAATTATCGCCTTTTATTCTTCCTCAGCCATTTAATAAAACGATTTTATAAGCAATGAAAAAAACGTCTTCTTTCAAACGGTATCGACTCTCTGGTGTCTATTGCCAGATCCTTCTTTTCATTCCACGCATCAAACTTTAACCATTGAAGACTTTATTTCTTGTTAACATAGCATCATCGAAACGCAAGGGAGGTTGGGAGAATTCATAAAATATTTCATCTTGATATTCCAAGCAACCTGTGACGTGTGAACGCGCTGGCCACATCACGGAGTTTATACATAACTCGCCGGACTTTCTAAATCGAACCAAGAGAAAAGTACCAAAAAAGCTATAACAGAAGAAAAAAACTAAGCCTGCCAGTTATCTCTCATTTGAGCAGCAGCCCGAGCGAGTACGCGAAAGGTCTCTAAAAGGTCTCTCATACTCGCGCCAGAACGCCCACGAACATCTCGCTCGTTCCCAACGCTTGCTGGCTTAAGACCTGCGGGCTGCGCCCATCAGTGCCGAAGAAATAATGAGTAATAATGAGCAATAACGAGCCTCCATACCTCAACAATTGACGGAAGCCCAGTTTTAATCAATCCATAATTTGTTTTCCTCTTTAGTATACACTAATCGTAAAAGTTATTTATTCAGTCAATGAAATTACAGTGGCCGAAGACTTTAGAGGGGAGATCTTTTAAGAGGAAAACAACAAAAATGAAATTCTTTCCTTTTTTCCTATAGTTGGGTCAAAGAGAGATAAAAATCAATGTCAGCAAATGTATTTTTCAACAGTTAGGTCAAAATAGGAGTGAAGCTAAAAAGCCTCATGATTTATTTTGTCTTACAAAAAATCATTTAGGACGGTTGAAAAATGTTACCCTGCCAAAATAATGCCAAGTGTTGGAGACCATTATTATCAACACCTTACTCTTCTGTTTTGAGTTGTATATTTATGTCTTCATACACAGAGAAAAAGCATATATAACAAGATGCTGAACGTGGCAACCATTTCTCGACGCGAAATTTATTGTTTTTTTTTTTTTTAGGACGTGATTTATGATTTATGATTTAAGGACAGTTCAACGAGAGGTGCAGCCGCTTTTCCGTTTTCTACTTCACCAAGATATATTTGTGTTTTCCAAGCTGATCAAGCGTTCTAGGTAAAGGGAAAATGTTGAAAAGCCGTGACTCCCTCAGATTTTCGTGCTGTTGCAAAGTCTTTTAGCGGCTTCCTAGTTTCCAATCTCTGCGCGGCGTTAGCATTTTGATATAATTTTCCGCACCATGTAGTCGAATTTTTTTTTCCCAAGGAGTCTCAATGTCGTTTCATTCACGTATCCTAACTGCCAGGTGTGTTCTTGTTGTCTTTTTATCTTTCGAAATTCATTTACCTTATTTGTTATCATTGTAAATTACTGCCATTTTGGTAATTTATTCACGTATTTCAGAACCGCTGCTCAAGTCTATCGTTGCCCTAACACAGAAGTTTTTGTGTAGATATGTGCTTAACGTTAGGGCCCTAAGACTGACCCCAAACCGGTCAGTTTTCATGGCAATCAATGATGCTACTTGTCGTTTTCGCAACATTTGCGATTCGAAAAAGTAACCCTTATTTCAGAGATTTAATAAAAAAACTTTATTGTTCCGATAAAACAGTTTCACAATAGACGTAATCCGTCATTTATTACTTTATTGATTTATTTATTAATCCATTAAGATCTTTATTAGCTTAAAGTTTTATCTACAGCTGTTTTTATTACAATAACAAAAAAGCTATTTGACAAGTAACCCTGTGTTTACTCCGAATATCAAAAAGGGAGACTGCGTCGTCGTTCAATGATAGCAAACATTTGGCACAGAGGATTTCAAAATAACGAAACAAATAAATAACTGATGATCTAAAACTGAAACGATTGCGAGAGTCTAGCGTGATTAATTTAATCTCATGAATCATGAGTCTAAGCTAACCTGCGTAGGGTTGAAGATGGTAAAAATGTAAGTGAAAACTTTGTGCAATGGTGCCAGGAAACCAAACAACCACGAAACGCCCAGCAGGGGAATCATCACCACGCCCGCTTTAACGCCAAGTCTAAAGGATGAGAACAATTACAACGGGGCATGAGAGTTAGACATTTTACTTTTTTTCCCCCCAAATTTTATCACTATAAGACCATCCACTGATTCAGATTAATAGGGAAGTTAAGCGAGTATCATGGAACAAGGCAATACTATGAAATGTAATGTAACTGGCCTCGAAGGATTCAGTGGATTTTCTTTCCCCTCGACGTTCAATGATCCCTTGGGAAGAACTAGAAAACTCCATGAGAAGAGTCATTTAAGTTTGGAAAAATAAAAATGCAATTATTTAAACTCACATTGCTAAAAAAAGTCAAGTCATACCTTATTTGCCGAGCATAGTTATCTTCCGCCAATGGTTCTACGAGTGTAGTTATCTCCTTTATGACTCGTACAAGTATTAAAATGTTGAGCTGAAAAAAATTTAAAAAATAATAATAATGATTATAATTAAAAACAAATTAGACAATACTCTTCGATAAAAAGAAACATGATAATCAATTCGAAAATATGAATAAAAAAAATCATATGACGTCAATTAGTCATAAACTTACTGATTCGATAAACGCCACGAATGCCACGAAAATCCAGATTGGCTTATTAGTTGAAGACAGCCAGCAACTTGAGACAAGGAAAACAAATAAAAGAAAAATTGTCACCATAACTGAAATATAGTGGAAACAAGAAAATATCAAATGTTTTTTCTTACTATTTATCACTGGTAAAGCTTTTCATCCCTTCTTTTCCAGCAGCAATGCTCAGTGAAATGGCTACCATGACGACAGGAAGACCTACAAATAGAGAGAACGAAGAATGATGTAAATGTCGGGGAATAATATACCAAATATGGCAAAAAATAGTTATAAATACCCCATGATATGACGTGGTACATGTATATCTTAGTGTTGATGTTGTAAACCTTTACAACAAACAGGTAGAGATAAATTCCTTCAACCAGCATCCAACAGAAAGCGGCCATCAGAAAATACCGCATAAGAGAAAGAAAGAACATGATCCTGGCTGTGAAAAATTTGAAGTGTTAAATAACAATTTCTTCCATGATATGCAACTTACCATGTTTTCTGTGGCGTTTATCCCGGCAAGAAATATTATTTGTCCAGCTCTGAGGGACACAGAAAGACTTAAACGTATTTGTGATAGAGGTTCACGAACATCTCTGACGAAGTAAAAAGCAAGACAAATCAGTGATAGTTATCATAGGCAAACGTAACTGAAAGTCTAGAGAAGAAAAGAATAAACACTGACTAGTAAATATATGAATAAGTAACTTAAATATTTAGCATGCAAAGTATAAGGGAGATTGGAAGGAACACTACTGCTATTTCTGAGTTACACTGAGTTGCCGTCTGTCGCAAATTAAGGGGGATTGAGAACAGATGAACAGATGGTTAATAATAACGATTCGCACTCGTCCAGTAACTGCACGGATTTCGGTCATTGACTATTTAATCCAGTAAGCACAATAGTCTTTCAAATCGTAGTTGCCAAAAGTGATTTTTAAAATCTAGTTTTGCACACCCTGGCCAACTTTATGAAATCAACATCAAAGTCATAAGTTATTTTTTGGTAACAGTACTTACGTGAGGAAAGAATAAAGGACGATTGTCAAAAGCATCCCGATGACGGAAAGACTTAACCCTACGTACGTGATAGTCTCCAAGATCGTTCCGTCCTTCTTGGAGAGCTTTATCAAAAATTGGAAACAAAAAATTGATTATTAAACCTAACGGTGGAAGTACGTTAAAAAAATATCGATGATGAAAAAAAAAAAAAACCTTTGTGCCACCACTGTCAAAATCAACTAGGACAGCAAAGTAAGTCAAATGATTGCATCTACAGACTGTTTCTTCTGGGTTACTCTTTGCTGTATCTACATGACAACCATCCTCTGAGTACCCGTCTGGACTGAAAAAGTAAATGAATGACGAATAAAAAAAATGTGAGATAAGCGATTAGGGTTTGAAACCAGCAGAGGGTCGAAAGGTTCATTCTGGAAGCAGGTCTAGTTTAATTTTTGAAATACATTTAGACTCTCAAGATGCCCTCTCATTCCATCGTTTATAGGAAAAGAATAATAAACATTGATCTCATATGGAAATTTCTGGAAGCGACAGACAAACTAATACTAAATTGAAGGTCATAACTTAATTTAAATGTTAAAGAATAAATTAATTTCAAAACAAATTAGTTAATGTGATATTATATGTTTTTACCTCTTGCTGAAGCCACTCCAAAACATGCAATGCTTTTTTTCCTCAACGACCTAGAAACAAATTTCATTTCGTTTGAATTGACTCAACACAATATAGAAGGACTGAAGTTATTTTTCAGTCTTCTAGAAATTAAGTACCTTTAGGTTTCTGAACTTCAAGATGACATCTTGTAAAATTTCCGGTTTAGGATCCATAGCCGCGGTCGTTATCCTGGTGTTGACATACCTGTTTAGAAAGTTACACTCTTCAAATCACCATGGCCGTTATGCTATCTGTCTTGAAAACCAAACTGTTAAACCATATTTTTTATGAATAAAAAGGCTCTGTATAATTTTTTATCTCCACTTATTTAACGGTAAAAAAGGAATGTTTTAGCCCTATGTGCGATTTAGAGGTTGACAAATAGCCAAAACATCTGCAAATTCTTTTTAGATGTTGTAGAAGTTATTGACTGAGGACTTCGCCACATTTAGCTATTAAAATTATGATAGTCAAACGTCGCAGGAAACAGGAAATGACACTGCTTTCTAATTTCCTTTAAGATGACTGGCATCAAGGTTAAGCGTCATACCTTCGGTTACACATTGAGTTTCCTGCATATTTAGTGGCTGTGTTTTTTTTTATGGCTCAGCATAGCATGCAACTCAACTCACGCACATTAAGCATGAACCAATTCTCTAATATATTACGTATTAAGGTCACCTTGAATTGTGAGTTTCATTCCCAATGGACTGCTTAGTCAGCAGCAATTCATGGAGATCTTTGTACAAACATCCTACAACCACGGACCCTGAGCAAACAAATAAACATAAAAGACATACAAACCGCGGAGAGGCTTTGGTGTAACCCCATACTTATTAAAAACAAAGCCTTAGCCTCAAATATAATCTTATTTTTTCACCACATAGTTCCAAAAGAAAAGAAAAGAAAAGAAAAACCAGAACACATGATTCGCTTCTTATAGCCCACAACATCTGCCAGCTATATAATAAATGGGGTTATTCAAAAATACAACCCAATATTTTTTTCGAACACCGAAGCGTAAGTAGAATCTTAAGATCAAAGCTATTTATTTGACCACCCAAAACAAGTATTTTACCTAGCCAACTATTACTTTATGCTGGACACTGCATCATTACAACATTTATTATTCTTCCTCAGATATTCCCAGACTTTACTGGAATATTTCAATCAAGCTGCCTCTTTTTGGTTATTTTTTTACTTCTCCCAGACTTTAATAAAATATTTCAATGAAGATGCCCTTTTTTGGTCATTTTTTCACTTCTTGAGACCTAAAACATAAATATACCGACAAATTTTACGTGTTTCACCAAACCCACTTTGATAAGGGAAAAAGCAATTTCAAAGTCAAAATGCGAAAGACTTCGTAGAAACACTACAGAAATGAAGCATTAATCGGTAGCAAAATGGCATTGCACAATTTTGAGATTAAATGGTGTCTACCATTCTTGGCAAAGTTTGCAGAGGAAATGTTAATGCTGGTTTGCCATTCTTCTTCCTCCAGAAGGAAGTTATTCGGATCATTCTGGTAGCCAATCTTCATGCGTACAACTGTCGGAGGAAGGAAAAGATAAGACGGAAATGTAATAAACAATGACTGTAAAAAGTAGATTCTGGAGATTTCTAGAATGGCTTGTTATTGTGACATGGATGCTCCAGCCTTCTGATGACTTAGCATGGAACGTTCCAGAACTTTCTATTAGGTTATATGTAATCATGATTTAATTCTACCAGACTAGCTGAATTGTAAGCTTCTGAAAAGTTCTACAATACGTTGTAGATTTATATGTAGTCATTTAAGAGAAGTAGCTGTTGTTTCCGGTCGTGATTGTCTGTCTGGAAAACTATACTAAGAGAGAGCTATTATTATTTAGTTTAAAGATGACACATTTCAGGAGGGTTTGGGGGAAACATCTATTTTTTTGTCAGTGGCATCAAAGTTATAATTAAGGTAAGATTGGGTCGCTTAGCTTCTTAGTAATAATTATTACACGTTGGTTGATAAAGTAGTTGGGTTTGTAGGAGTGTAGTATTACTTCTGTTGAATGAATTACACCGTTACAAAGTAACTGCCGTTTTAGAATTTTATAGCATATTTGAATATGCATGCGAAGTCTAAAAAATGAGCAACACTCAGACATGGTTTCATGCTGCTATGGTTTAAAGATTTGATTAATGTAACCGAGAAGTTTCAATTCAGAGACCCAACGTTTCGACCACTCCTGCCTAATGCCTTCGTCAGGGGTGATCTAAACGCTGCAACAAGAAGTCCTTTTATACTAATTAGCTTCTTTTTTTTTTTCTGACAAGGTATACATAGGCGTCAGGAAGTAGGCCGCCGTCATCACGATTTAAAGGAGCGTGGACGGAGTTGATGTGCCAGGTTTCCAAACAAAGGTGCTGGTGGTAACGCCACACTATTGTCTTAAAGCGATTCAGTTTTATTTGACAAAGGTGAAATGTAATATTCTAAAGACGTCATAAAAATGTCGGAATTTTTTTTAACATCCAAATAGAAAAAAAAAAAAAAAGGATTTACAAATTTCTATCTGCATCTATTTATATTAATACAAAAGAAAGGAGACTTAAGGATTTGAAGCGCGTGAAATTATTTCCGAGCGTCCTTTGAGAAGTAACGCGCATAGCTTATTTCTTCAAGCCAGGCTGCAGGTTAGCCATTATTTTAGTTAGCCCTTCGTCAATCGCTATGACGAAGGGCTAACACTCGAAACGTCAATTCTTTACGAAGGCCAGTTTGCGTTACCAGTTCAGTAAATAATACTTAATTACCCTGTTATGCTCTCCCAACAACGCAGCACCACACTTTCTTTAGAAACTTACCCCCCCTTATTCATTATTTTAGACAGCCTAGTGGTCTTTTGTTGGTCATTATTTATTTAATCAACAAATTTCACAAATCTGAAAAGACGACATTTTGACTCACCCATTCTACTGTCAGTCATATTCTTTAACAGTTTCGTCCTATTCAGGTGGTACCTGCTGTAGTTGAGAACAAATTTCTCGAATGCGACTGCTACCTTAAAGATGGCTGCTGTTCTTTTCTTAACTTCTTCTTCACCAAGTTGGCCCTTGAAAGGTTTTGTTATCTGCTGATACTGATTGGTGAAGTCGTTAAACAAACGCATTGCCCCCTGTAACGTTATGAAATACTCTTTATTCCTGTCACATTACCTTCAGATATTTTTAATGTCTGATAATGATGTCAAATCAGTAAAAATTGAATTTCCACACAAAGACAGTCGGCGGAGGTAAACAGGCTTCTAATAAGAAATAATCCTTCTCGTATGAACAAAAACGAAAATTTGAGTTAAAATTTCTGACATATCCCATAAAATAACCAAAACATAAAAATAAAGGCAAGAACAGCTTCAAACAACAACAAAAAAGAAGTGAAAATACTTTTGCGCACCATAAGTTACAGATCTGCTTTTATATCAAAGTAGACTATGCGCCTGCACCAGATTCTCATAGTGCTCTTAAAACGTTCTGTTCTCGATTTTAAGTCAAAGCTTTGACCGCTTTTGCGTTTATCTAAAGATAGTCACTTTCAAGATAATGCGCAAGCTATACAAAGCAATTTAGTTAAACGATTGATAACTAAAATTTAAGCAAAGGTATACCTTCACTGAACTTTCTCTCTTGAGTTCTATCGCACCAAGTTTAGAAACATATTCAATTGCCTAGGAAAAGAAAACGATGTCAATGAACGCTTTATTTAATGGAAATAACGAATGTAAGTATGTAGAGAAATTGCAGTACATACCAGCCTCTCAATTGTCACTGGCCGAGAAGTCAAATTTGGAGACGACGATGACGAAGACGACGATGATGACAATGACACTAACAATGGCCTTGATGTCGAAAGTGACGATGACGCTAACAATGACGATGACAACGACGACGACGATAACGTTGGTAATAGTGATGGAAATGAGTGTGATGTTGATGAGTGTGATGATGATAATGGTGACTGTAAACGTGACGATGACGACAGTGATCTTGGTGATGGCAATAATGGCGGCAACGACGACGATGATGATGATACTAACAATAACCTTGATATCGAAGATGGCAATAATACTAACAATGACGATGACAACGACGACAACGATGACGGTGGTAATAGTGATGGAAATGGTGACCGAAAACGTGACGATGACGAAGGTGAGCTTGGTGATGGCAATAATGGCAGCGAATACGACGGGACAGGGTAGCTATCTTGGTCAAGTCTGGCAAATCCTGGCAAAGTAGAATTTGTGAGAAAAAGATAACATTAGCGATAAACACGGGACGAATGATACGATAATTTCTCCAAATCAAATGACAGATTAATCAGTTCTTTACTAAGCAAACCTTACTGATCAGAATTGCGTTCCTGTTAAGTGTTTCTTTATTGGGACGAGAGAGAGACAGCAATAAATTGTTTAATGATACTGCCGTGAATTTCAATAAATTAACTTAAAGCACTGAAATGGGTCGTCACTTACACTTCAAAATTGATCTTGCCGAGACCGCCATAAGTTTACTAAACCAAAAAAAATCCCAAGGAGAGGGATACTGATTAAATTCAAAGTTTTTATTACTTTGGACGTAAATTGTGATTTGAATACACTTCACTGTGCCACTAGTAAAACTAGTTGATTTTCCAAATTTTAGATCTTGCAACACTCAACAGTCTTACTGCTGTTCGCTCGCACTGATTACCAGTGCAAAATCATTTTTAGCCAGCAAATTACGCTAGAGCGGGCATTTTTCTTGGCTTCTCACTTTTTTTTTTCTTTCGCTGCAAGAATGCCACCATGTTAGTGTTATCCGATTTCACAAAAAAATGAAAATGCAAATTCGCTCTTTAAAAGGAAAACATATGGCACAATACTTTACTCTCTGAATAAACAAAATTTAAGAGAGGTGCAGAAAAATACAATATATCTGGCGCAGTTCACGTATTGAACTCATCTGTAATTCTCATTTTTACTATTTCATTTAATTATTATTATCATTATTTTTATCATTACTTCAGGAAATTAGATAGTGCACGGGCAGGAGCAGTTATTCCTGAATAAACTCCAACTCTTACGTTGAGACAGGTAACGGAAAATGTCTCCACTTTTTTTAAAGTCTGTCGAGATGATTCTATGACAAAAATATATTTTTTATTCCTTTTTTCAAGGAAGGGTGGGGGGTTGCCCAGTAGATGGCTCCTTTGGGATTAGTTTCTGAAGTATAATTACGATGGATTTTCCTGCCCAATTTAGAAACTTATGGCGAGAAGAATTAAGATGAAAACTTTCTCTGTTTAACTATGTCAACTTGATGAATCAACAATGCGATAAAGGCTAAACATTTGGATGGGAAAGAAAGGATGGAGATTAATATTCCATTTTTCTTTTTGATTTTCAAGGGGTCTTAAATCGTGATGTTTTTTAAAGGTAGTTTAGATACGATTTCTCTTATGCATGCGTTATCTTAGTCATTCCAGAGAATCGATATCTTTAATCTTATTCACCGGGCTGAAAATAAACCTTCTTTATTTACATTGCCGCGTAAGAGTTACACCTCAAAACTAATTAAGTTCGATTAAGCTTATACCTAACAAGCGTTATCTATAGTTCAGTAATAATTATATACCTGCTTCTAAAAGTATGCCCTCGTTTTACAGGAACAAGAAAATTTAAAAGATGCTATCGCTATCTGCTGCCGTATTTTCCCGCGAGTGCCTTTGGGAGAGCAACAAGGTCGAATCGTGCTCGAGAACTCTGAAGAAGTTATTCTTTTTGGAGTATGCTTGTGATACTAATAAACTGAACAAAATTTTATGATTTAGAAAGAACTTTGGTACTCACTCAATAAAGTTACTGAAAATAGGACGATTCTCCAAATCTGACAAGCTTTCGCTAACATTTCTCTCTTCTGTTTGGGTTACGTTTCTCTTTACACTCAACCAGTTCCGATCTTTTTTCCCCAAATTTTTATGAGCAGAATATCAGTTTAAAATTCCTTCTGGCAGTATCAGGTTGGTAGCAATTCCCGTTTCGAAAAATATTTTTCCAGATCAGTCTCATGGCAAAAGAACAAGCTTTCAGCGTGTGTTGTTTTGAACAAAATCAGCGTTCTGTTGCTAAATTATTACACAGGAAGTTGAATGTCATGTAAATTTTTGACGTCTTGTCTCCGTTCAAATTTAATCTAAAGAACTCGGACTTTGCACATATTTAAAACAAGCATAGCAAAATTATCGATTAACATCGTAACAAATTGCTTCACTACATTCCTTATTATTCTTTTAAAAGAATAGAGTGGACTAAAATGTTAAATAGTTATATAGAGTCAAGCTCAAGAGAGTAAATTTTTGGTATCGATTGCAAATTTTCATTCTTGCAGTGGACCATTAGCCACTGGGAATCTTTGTTTATTTAGCTATTTAAGAAACCATCTCGGTGATTTAAGAGCAGTAGCATAACACAAGCTAACACCGAACAAATATGGTTTTACTTCAAGGAAGTTTCTAATTTCAATCGATTCGCAAAGCTCAAATGACTGTGCTACCATACTTTGCCTTTTTACGACTCTCTTCTCCATGAGTAGTTAGGTATACTGTTTGTATTGTATTTTTCTTTTGGATACATTAGTCTGGAATTCCGAGGTACGCCGAGCAGACCAATTGGGAAATACCACTGAGACATACAAAATGGGCGAGTAATCAATACTTTTCAGGGATATTTAGATTTTAAACCCACCTATTCGTTTTCGCGCGGTTTCCTTAGCTGGTTTCTTCACGTTATGCAAAACAACAGGTCGGTTATCCGGAAATTATCCCCGTCTGCCTTGATAATTGTCCCAAGTTTAGATTAATAATGAAATAAGCTGGTGAAAAAGAGCCAACTCTTTGAGTTTCACCTTTTTACATGGAGAAAAATCAAAATTTCTCAATGTTTTGTAATATCCAATGATAGTAAAAGCCGATTTCAAACGCTGGTCAGGACTGTAAAAAAAGTCAACACAATATGCTATCGACGCGGAATATGAAAAATTATGAGGGGTATTGTTCACATCTTCCTTCGAAGGTTTACCTTTGTACCAAATGTTCCCTTTTTGGACAGTCTCTAAGCGGCGACAATCATCGGACTGAGGCGATTTATTTAGAAATTAATGAGACATCAAAAATGTGTATTCCGCCAAAGAGCGATGAATCTCGTAGATTCCTCGGTATATTGTTGTACCTATATCTCTCTAGATGAAGAATTCCTTAAGATAATCGCGAGATAGCTCTGGAATCTCATATATCCTTTTTCTAACATTACGAGAGGAAAAATGAGAGGAGAAATGAGACATAGACACATAGGATGTCTGCTTCCCCCACCCCACCCCCTCCTAATTTATCTGTAAAACAAAGTGCTATATTCAAAAGTCTTCATTTACATTCCTTTTGCACAGTACTATAAATTGCACCTGTCTGCAATTCGTATCACACTAAGGTGATACATTATTTTTGCAGTGTTTACATATCCTCATCTAAACATTATGAAGGGCCGGGCGGGACAGGGGGGGAGGGGAAGAGGGGGGGTGGAAGTTGAAATAGATATTTCAACGTCTCTTATCGCTTCAATTTACCCATGAAAACTGCTCTCTGGGTTTTTTGTTGTTGTTGTTTTTTTGTTTTTCTCGGAAAACAAGTCTGATGAGAGACCTTTTTGTCTTTTCACGTTTACAGCGTTCCTCCACGTATACTCATTGTATTTCTTGCTCAGGTGCATTTTTCCCGAAGACGTTGGTTCCATTTTTTCCCATTAATTCGCAAATTTTAATCCGTTGAATCCGCTGCGTTTAATCAGTTTAAAACGTTTAAAAGTCAGCTTTAATCGCTACTATTACAAAAGCAAATAGTATTTGCGATTTTACTGGTAATTTAACCACTCAAATAATATAAAATGGGTGACGCTATCGTGAAATATAAGTATAAAATTGCGCGCTAAAATTCATAGAAATGTGTATCATAATAAAGCATAGGAATGTTTAAAGACACGTCAGTCTTGACTGCATCACCGCAACATTTCAACTAAATAATAGGAAAAAATAGGGGGCAATCATTGATAGAACGAAGAAACCATCATTTGAAAGAGACTATGTTGAATTCTAACAGCGATCGACAGCCAGCCTATAAGTTAGATACTTAAAAGCAATTTAGTTTGCAGCTAAGGCAAAATTTCCCTAATTACGTACGATACTCAAAAAATTACTTACTCTTAATTCAAAGAAAAAGAAAGCTAGAACAGACTGTTTTGTATTCTAACAGTGATCGACAGCCAGCCTATAAGATAGTTACTTAAAAGATATTTAGTTTGCAGCTAAGGCAAACTTTCTCTAAGAAGATACGATAGTCTAAAAAATCTAAAGAAAAAAAAGCTTGAACAGTTCTTGCATCTAGCTTACATTAAACGCTACTACCTTTGGCAAGTTGCCCTATTATCGCAGTAAGTTACACCTTAAGTATGACTTATTCACGAAGCTAATGCCTCGATTGGAACGGCCGAAATCTTCCTGAAAGATCGAAAATGAGCAACCGCGATTGACCAACTAAGCTTAAAAATCAAATTAAACAATTAAACAATGGAGTTTCATGCTTGGTCCGTGTTGAATCTAGCTCTTCAAGCCGAGTGTTTTTCCAGCTCAAATTCATCGAAAGACTGCAATTCAGCTACCCACGTATCACCGACAACACTTGGATTAACCTGTGAGCTCTTCTTTGTGGAGTTTTCATTGTTTGTAGATGGGAAAACCGTGTTCACCTTCCTTTTGAATCGCTCTCTAATCTGCAGATAGACAAGCAAAGTAAACAAATAAAGGCACCGATAGACATGGAAAGTAAGAAAAAGAATCACATTCAAGGTACATTCAAATTTTAAAACCTCAAGTTTTAAAACCTCAAGTTTTAAAACTTACCTGGCTGTTTCGCACACAGTGAAGAACGAAAATCAGGAAACCCTTAGACAGAAAAAAAAAATTGTTTTTCAGACCAATTTCGTTTTGTGATTGCGACCTAGGGTAAATATATTGAGGTTTTCTTTTTTTTTTTTTTCTCTAAAAGCCCCAAATAACATCAAAAAGAATCAAATTATGTCTTGACCAGCAAAAAATCACATAAACAGTGACATCCTTTTTTCTTATCTTTTAAATTTTATTCACTTTTGTCTGTTTTACATTAACAAATATTCTATCACGTATGAAACTGTAAAATCATAATATTTGATACTCACTTGAGTAGAGTTGAGGATGGTAAAAATGTAGGAAAAAGCTTTGTGTAATGGCGACAGAAGACCAAATAACCACGTGACACCCAACAGGGGGATCATCACAACACATGCTCTAATGCCAACTCTATAGGACGAAAATTTGCTGGTTAATTTATTGCTTACTGAACCTCACAAACATTTTTGGAACCCATACTTTCTCTTACCTAATTAATATCGACAAGCTCCTCAGGAAGTAAGAAGTATTCCGTTATAAGGATTCTTTAGGATTTCACCCAACCTCTTGCAGGAACTGAAAACATTTTTCTCTCTCTCTTTTCTTTTTTTTTTTTTTAACGTTCTTTAGAGCTCTTTCTCACCGTGATTGCTGACTTTGCTTGTCTCCTGTTTGGCTGCATTCTGGCCATCTCCCTTATGACTCGTGTGAGTATCAAAATGTTGATCTGAAAGAGGAGGAGAAAAATTAAAAGTTTGTATTAAGGTATGGCTATTACACATTTCAAGTCTTATATCATAATCACCGATATGAATAAACCGAAACAGAAACTTACCACTTCAACTGTAATCACAAATGTGACAAATATCCATATCAAATTGTTCGCTGAGGATATCCAACAACTTAAAAGGGGAAAGATAGCATAGACAAAAACAAAAATTGTCAGCATAAAATCTGCAGTCAAAGGAATTCGTAAGAAATTACATAGCGAAAAATACATGGGCGCGCGAAGATATAAAATTTCTCTTCGAGTGTTTAACTCGATAGCTCACGAGTGAGGTGTCAAGTTGAACACGAGAAGAGAAATTTCATAGCTGAAAGTAACCATGTATCATTTTTTATCATATATACCAAATAATTATTGATTGATTGAGAATGGTGAAGGCTTCGCAGTTCATTCATCAACCTGGCCGAGGGGTGCAATAGGCGACTGACGTGTCAGCAACTGATCGGCGATATCAAACACACGAGAAAAAATAATGATACTTGTCCACATTTGTTGTTAAGGCTTTTCTCAGGACTGAAATTCTTGCATAACACTGTTGTTTATATTATGTTAAAAAATGCATTTTAAGATGTTCAATAATATGATGATAACATGATAAGGTACAGATGAGAAGGGAAGATTTTGGAGAAAAAAAAAGGAATAAGGAAACACAAGGATAAAATTACAGAAACCTTGCATAAAGAAAGAAACCGATGTGAGAAAGCTTTCCCGAAAGGGTAAATGTTACGAGAAGGACTTTGAGATAAATTTAATGAAAATGTCAAAGCAAATTAAAAGAAACATCAAAACTTCACCGAAAAAAATTAACATTTTAGGGGGAGGAAAAAAAAGGAGAAAAAAGAAAAAAAAATATACGCCTCGTACAATTTGTCGCTGGTGTAACTCTGTATCCCTTCTTTTCCAGCAGCGATAGACAGTGAAATGGCCACCATAACTAATGGAAAACCTATCAGGAAATGACAAACCAATCAAGGCGACTCAAAATGATTAAAATTAAATTAGCCAAAAATAAAATTCACAGTATATTGTAAGTTCAGCTGTGTAAGCAAAATACCCCATGACATGACGTGATATATGCGCATCTTGTCGTTGATGTTATAAACTTTTACAACAAACAGGTAAAGATAAATTCCCTCGACCAGCATCCAACAGAAAGCGGCCATCAGAAAATACTGCATAACAGCTGCTACTATGACACACACAGCCTGCACAGATACGTAAAGAAAACAGCAGAATCTATGTCATTTCAATGCTTTGTTCGATCATAATATCTTTAATTTCATATAAAAAATGGGAATAACCACCTACCTTGATCTCTGTGGCATTTATACCAGCGAAAAAACATATTTGTCCAGCTCCTAAAGCCACAGCAAGACTTACGCGTATTTGGGACAGAGGTTGACGAAGATCTCTGTTAACAACAACAACAACAACAACACACACACACACAAAACAAAACAAAACAAAACCAAAAAAAACAAAAGCAAAAAGCATGAGTGAAAGCGAGAGACAGTAGATAGGCAGATGAACTTGGACAGTCACGAGTGATGTCCAAAACATGGGGTACGGATTTAGTTTCTAATTAGCACCAAGACATTTTCGTTATTATTATTTTTTTTTTTTGGGGCAGGGGGGAAGGGGTGTTACGGACATTGCACTGGCCTGATTTATTCAATACATCTTCCACGGTATTTCAGGATGTTCTCCGCTGATCGTTTGATTACAGTACTTACGTGAGGAAAGAATATAAGGTTATTGTCGAAAGTATTCCGATGATGGATAGGCTTAACCCTACGTAAGTGATGATCTCCAGAACAGCTACGTCGTTCTCGGAAAGCTGCGTCAAAAACAAAAGAAAAAGAAGGTAATACTTTGATTGACCACACGTACCCATTTCTAGTTTGAATTCAAGGTAAAAATAATAATAATACTAATAATAATTATACTAATAATACTAATAATAATAATACTAATAATAATAAAACTACCTTTGTGCTGCCGCTGAAGTCAACTAAGACAGCGAAATGAGTCAAATGATTGCAGCTGCAAATTGTTTCTTCTGAGTTGCTCTTCGAATGATCCACATGACAACCCTCTTCTGAAAACCCATCCGGACTAAAAACAAAGAAATATTACAATATAATGAATAAAAATAACGATTTTCCTTTCTCAGAGGGTACGGTAACAAACCCAGCAATCTGATTGGTTATATGTTATTCGGTGAATAACATATAATTTAAAAAACTTCGGAGCTTGAAACACTAATCAGTGTTGACTGCCTTTCTTCTGGTATTTTATAACATTTCATAACGGTGATTCTAATATGAAAAATCAGGACTATCCTCCTCGCAAATGAGGGTTTAACTGATATCTCGAATTTTTATACTCAGTTTTGGACTAAGCGAAAAAGACGGAGTCCCAAAGCATAGTTTATAATATCTTTGTATTTACCTATTTTTGAAACCACTCCAAAACATGCAATGCTTTTCTTCTTCAACGACCTGAAAATATATTTTGCATGTATTTCTATTAAATTGATCCAGCATAACACAAAGGGAACGAGCTTATCTTTCAGCGTTCTTGCTGTTACCTGTAGGTTTTTGAACTTCAAGATTACATCTCGTCGTAGTTTTTCAGGTTTAGGATTCATCGCTGCCGTCATTATTCTGGTGTTAACATACCTGTAGAAGAAATATTGTTCTATGCTATCAACTTTTGCAAACCATTACAGTGCATTTACATATAACTGCATGTAGCATACTCTATGTCATTTTTATCTTCGATATAAAATGGTGATAATGAAAATTAACTTCTCTTATGATTTTTAAAGTTTACTGTGTGATAAAGAAAACTTAACCCTCAGGTAATTTCTCCAAATGAGCTTAAAAAATGGACTTGGTCATCGCCTTCTTTATTCATTATTAGGGTTCCTATTACACTGCTTATTAGGGTTCTCCCTATCTCGATTGGTTAAATTTGATATGGCATGCCATATAATTCAATACATGTACGCTAAGCACAATTCTTAAATATTTTATCGCTTAACGTCACCTGGAAGTGTCAAGTTCTTCTCCAGTAGATTGATTTCTCAGTAGTAATTCATGAAGGTCTTTGTACACACATCCTACAATCACTGACCCTTTAAAGAAAACAATATTGTTAATCAGAACATGAAAAAAAGTCCTTGTAACGCCAAACGATAGGGTTAGTCTCAGTATAAACATATTCGAAATGGTGATCGATCAAGTTCCCCTCCATGTTTTTCACCAAAGAACTGTCTAAGTTATAATACAGTATGGACTGAAGTGTTTTCGAAGACCAAATATTTTCGAGCAGAATTATTTGTTTGACCCACATACTTCGACATTTGAACACCCAACTGGCTAACACCACATCTTTGCTCCTTTAGCATTCTGCATAAGCTATTTGAACCGGAGACTCCACTGGCATAGATCAACTAATGCTTTTGTCATTTCTTACTTTTCTATGACATTAGTGAAAATATAGAAATGTTGTGCGTGCTAATTATCATTGATTCAAGCAATTACCCCTACCTTCTACTGGTTAAAGGGCGAAATAATCTACTTAGGATTCTGGCAGAACACTCAAAAAGGTTATAGATCATTAGCTGGGCGTGAGTGATTGGCAAACTTTCCGACTATTCTCCCAGCTTCCTACTAAGGTCATCGCGTACCTTCTCAGCTGTTTTGAAATGTTTAACGATTGAAAAATAGTACACTGATACGTAAAACTTTCTGATTTCTAAATACTAGAGCAACTATTAAAGTGGAAAAATGTCATTCTATGATTTAGAGTTGAAAGCGTGGTTAACGCAAACCTTTTTCAGCAAAATCATCCGAGGATATATTAATGCTGACTTGCAATTCTTCCTCCTTGAGGAAAAAGTCAGTTGCATTCCGACGGTAGCCAATTTGAATGCCCAAAACTGTCAGAAGAAAGAGAAGATGTTAGCTGATGATTGGAATTGAAGGAGATGACAGCAGCGTATACGGATCCCTTTCTTAAAGGTATATACACAGCACTACACTATGATTTCTCAAACGCCATTCTGATTTATTTGAAATATATTATTGTACTGAGATCGTATTCATATACTCAAAAGAGGAAATTGAAACAGCTTATTAACCAGACGAATATCACTTCTCGTCAACTGGGCTTCACACACCTTCGTGCACCTACTGGCATCAAGCCAGACGAATTTTATGCGCCTTCGACTGCTTACGTGAGCCTTCAAGAATTCACTTGTATCATTTAATTTCCAAGGCCAGGCGGCAGACAGACCATTCAGTTAGACAAATGGTCAGTGGGTCAGTTACTAATAAAATAGTTTGAACTCACCCATTGTTCGGCTTTTGATCGTTGTAGAAGGATTCGTTCCATTCAGATGGTATTTACCATAATTAAATGCAAATTCCTCGAAGGCGACTGCCACCTTAAAGATGGATTCTCTTCTCGTTTCATCTCCTCCATCATTAAGTTGGCCTTTATTGGGTGTCGTGATGTTTAGAAAATTATCGATGAAGTCTTCAAATACTTGCATAGCCTCCTTTAAGTACCAAAAAGTTCTTTTTAATCATGTCGAACGTCATCATAATGAGAAAACAAAAGTGCACATCATAGGACTTGGACTGATTGGATATTGCATGATTTGAAAAAGAAGCGTTTCAACAGAACATCATTTCAGTGAATTAGCCACACCTATTTAGAAGAGGTATATTTTCCTACATTAAATTCTCATAGCACACAGTATTGTCATGCTTTTGCCTCTGTATAAAACGCTTTTGCAACTTACAAACTGTAGCTTTGCATCGGTAACTCCTTCTAATTACTGCATATTTCATATCTACAAGTAATGTTCATCTTGTTATTAGGAGAAAATAGTGCATTCATACCTTCAAAGAATTATTTCTCTTGCTATCTATTCCACTTAGTTTAGAAACAGATCCATTTGCCTGAGGCAAAGAAAGACAAAAGCGTTGAGGAATGGCAGAAACTATAAAAATAAAGGAGAAATTACGAAACATACCAGATTCTTAAGTATTTCCAACGTAGATTTCCAAGTTGACGATGGTGGAGACGACGATGCTGCTGCTGGTGATGATGAAGGTGCTGATGATTTTGTTGATACTGATTCCGATTCTGCTGTTGCTGATGCTTCTGCTTCAGATGAAGATGACGATATTGAAAAGGATGGTAATGGTGATGGTGAAAGTAACAATAATGGTGAAACCGACGATGACTGCAACTGATCTGTATGTTAAAGTAAAAGCTAGATGTCAAAACAACATTTAACTAAAATTGAAAAGCAATGATAAAGCGCAAGGAATCTAGAATATGAACAATGAAGAAAGAGCTATTCTATCTCAAGATTCATTAACTTTCAATCGTGAAAAAACATATTTACTTTGTTAAGTTTACTCACACCAAGTATGAGAATTATCTTTCCGCTGCACCGTTGAGATTTGAGTCGCTAAACCTTGACTTGCCGTTGACGGAGCAGACGAAATGAAATTCCACCTGCGTGAATTGTAACATGTGACAGTGTCGCGGGTCCGTGTACAATAAATAGCGTTCTTATGCTGTTTTAGGCATTGTACCTCCATGGAGCAAAATTGTTTACACTCTCTTCCGATAAATTTCAGAACCATTTCACACCAACATGTGCACGTTTGTTCGCATCTTGTACCAAGGCAACTACAAGAATAAGCGTTGTTCTGGAGCAGTTGGCAAGAAAAATCGTTGTAGACTACGTTATAGACGCTATACACATTGTGGTTGCATATCTCACTCTGCACCCAAAAGCCTGAAAAAAAATATTGCTTATGATAAATTTAGATAATTATAATATATAATAGACAATAGTTCACTAAGCACCCTTCCCCCCCCTCCCCCACCAGACAAAAAAAGAAAAAAAAATTCATGAAATTGTTGAGTAAATCTAGCGTAGAACTTTTATAATATCTACCATCTCGGTATGGTGCGAAAAAGTATAAAGCATTTATGAAAATTAAACTCCTATTTGCAACAAGTATCAGCCACCGTGAAGCTCCTAGACATCACTGACCAATTCGCAAATGAAAAAAAAACTTATTTATCTACTTATTATTATTATTATTATCATTATTATTGTTTCATTTTGATAGGGTAGGAAGTTCCTTCGGGCCATTTTGCAGGTTGCCCTTGAGCGAGGGATGCCGTGTTTCAATAACTACGCTGTGAAGCCTTTGGATTGATAGAATGATGTTATTTCTGAGTTAGAACATTTCCGCTCAACGGCGCTTCTTTTATTCAACTAAATGCAAGATGAAAATGAATTAGAAATAACAAATATTCGGAAGATTAATATGGAAATTGAAAAGGAAACGAAGTAAACTGCTGTTCTCTTTTACAAGAAGACTTGAAATGATGTTATTAAGCTAGTAACGTCAGTAATTTGTTAGAGTTGAGGAGACACCTGACCATATATTTTGACATTCGAGAATTCGCATATCCTCAAAGTGAATTAACGGGCTTAAAGTACACATCATCATTTGCATATTTGGGTAAAAAATTATCCATTTTATGATAGACCCCTGAGTTAAATTAGAGTTAAAACTTGTTGCACAGGAATGCATTGAGAAAATTAGTTTCTCGAAGTATTTTCCTAAAAATAATTTGTCTTGGCTTCTTCGTGGATGTTGGTTTGATCAGCTGTGATAAGGGACAAACTTTTGGAAAACCATTCTAGCGCTGTGGTTTCACCCAACACTGTTCGGAGAGCCATAGAATCGACTCCTCTGGGTAAACTTGTAATAAATATTAAGGTAAAGAACTTTTCTTTTGAAAATAACCTTGATACTCACGTAGAAGAGCAATTGATAACAGGAGTGTTCTCCATATCCGGCAACTTCTATTCGTCATCATTTTTTTTCTTGTGTGGTTTGAGCATCTGTCAGCTGAACTAAACACAGCCTTAGGCAAATTTTCTTTGGCTGAGGATTGGTTGATCTTTTCCTTTCTTAGTATGGAAGGCTTGTGAGAATTCTCTCTTAAGAAATATTTGGAAGATCAGTCTTATAGTGTTGTTTTGAGCCAGAACCAGCTGCCTATTATATGCATATGCAGGAAATTGAATATCATGCAAATCATTGATGTCACATCTTTCTACTTAAATTCAGTGATATTTCCCCTTTTTTCTTCCGTTTGAAATGTTGGTAAAACAAATACGATTAATACAAAATAGTCATTTAATCATTGTTTCTAAAGGATGTAGCCTTTAGCTAAAGATGTTAAATTCATGTTAGTATTCATGTTAATTATAAATCATTAATGACCATGCCACTCTTTGCTTATTTGGTGCTTAAAACGAAAACAATAAGTCTTTTTAGAGCACTTACATCATAGAAGTCGCTAAAATTTTATTTCGTCTATCAAAAATTGGGCAGAGTAGTTAAAATAGTAGTTCAAAAGAGTTTTCTGATTGGCTGATTCCTCCAAAAAGTGACGGGTTCATAACTAACAGCTTATGATACATGTCTTCGCGATTAACCACCTCTTTCAGACTACCCCTAGGGTTTCTAAAAGGAAAAAATAAGAAAAAATATGAAAAGAAATATAAAATTAACATAAAGCAGGTGCAGTTTGAACAATTTTGTGAAACAAATATCCTTATCGTGAATTTGAAGAGCTCTTTCGACGTTCTTAAGGTGTTTTAGCATGTAAGTGCAATTTTGCCTTCGTAATGATTACGATCGCTTTTATCAAAACCTTCGAAACACCGAGAATATATATTTTTTCACCTCTTGATGTTGACCTGCATGCGATGGACATAGCTATTGCAGACAGGTAACTCGCTTTATTTGCGTTATTCTGAGGCATGCGATTCAAGCTTTAAATTTGGGAAAAAAGATGGAATTTTTAAATTCAAACCTAAAATTAAAAGTTCTGCTCCGATTTGACCACCTTGTATATGTTTTATGATAAAGCAAGCTGTTTCAACCGGTCTGAACGCACGTTATTTCAAACATTCATCAAGTACAAAGGCGAATGAAAATCCATCACGTCGTTTGCATGGGTTTTGGAGAGTCTTCCAGGCAACCCTCTCCTTTGATTGACCCATTTCTGAGAAATACGTGCAAATCTAAAACTTTTCAATCGTGTTTACATATTCCCGCGTAAACAAAGCTTTCAGTTACTAACGAAAAAAAAAATGTTTCAGCCGACCATCAACAGCAAATCTGCTCGTTTAAACTGCCAGTCTGGCAGACGGGTCGTTACTACTGTCTCATTGCTGATGATCCAAGGCTAAGCCTCAACACCTACACACAACCCGTAGATGGATCCCACATCGAATGATCTTTGACATTTCCAAAACACAACATTATAGAATTATCTACCTTATTGGTACCTAAATTCGTGGGTCTTTAATTCCGCGTACTGGGCGATTGCAAAAAAATAGCTAAATCATAGACCTGCGAATGAAAATCAATTCTAAATTGAAAGACGCGAAATTAGCTCCCTAAAGAAAATTCAATTCGCTGACTAAACTGATCAACTCGTTACAATGACAACATCTACAGGATATCTACACATCAACAAATACTCAAATTATTATTTGGTTATACTGGTAAATTCTATTTTGTAACTTCTGTTCTGAAATGACGTTAACTTGCAAAGAAAGATTTCGCTCTCTTCGTGCATATTCCTTAGAATACTAGGACGCGTGAATCATGAAAGTCAACGCCCCTTTTTCATGTTTGCCTTTTAAAATCGTCAAAATATAACCCCGCGATCTATCTCCTCGCCAGTATTACGGAATTAATTTCCCGCGAAGTTACAGTTCATGCCTTCCTTTATCCTTTTTCAGCAACAAATATCCAACCACCATGAGGCTGTTTAATGTGACCGAGCGGGTGTTCAATAAATTTTCAGCTTAGAAATTAAATTGGTTTTTTCAACATTTAATACTGAATATGAGATTTTTAATATATGTTTTTTTTTTTAAATTTGATATTTAGTAATTATGTCTTGGGTCAAACATGATGATTTTTGCATTTTCATTATTCACAGAAGTAACTGCCCTTATGAGACTAGTCAGTGAGGTTTAGCTGGTGTCTTTTTTTTTTTTTTTTTTTGCATAGTTGTTAAGAAAAATATCTACTCGGTGTTAAAAATTGTTTTTGTATGAGAGAGTTGACTTTTCTACCTTCGTTTACTCAACTAATTGAAGGAAGTTTTTAAATTAATAATTTTTATGTTAGCGATTTCGATGAAAAGTGGACGGGAGACAGATGAACAGAGTCTGCATTTTCTTTCAAGAAGAAGACCCGAGGAGGGGCTTTTAGGTGGCTACTGCTTCAGCAATATGTTCATTACCACGGGGAGCGGAGAGCTAGGTGTTAACCATTCATTTACCTTTCATTTACCAGAATTGTCATAGCTTTGATCTCAAAAATCGAGCTCAAATTACTCCTTCCTACTTTGCATCTTTGCGCAAGAGTTTCACATCAACACGGAGGACCTTGTGTTTAACCAGCCTTAAAGTAATTAACGAGTTCAATA